CATGTATGAGCTATGTGCTGTGTGTGCCGTGTGATATGCGTGTGCCGTGTGTGACATGTATGAGCTATGTGCTGTGTGTGCCGTGTGTGATATGCGTGTGCCATGTGTGGCGTGTATGAGCTATGTGCCGTGTGATGTGTGTGTGCTGTGCCGTGTGGGCTGTGTGGGGTGTGAGTTTCCCTTAGCAGCTTAGTGGGCCCTGGACCCCCCGAAGGGCGGGATGAGTGATGATGGGAAAACAACCAGTGAGCCCCAGCAAGTGGGGCTCGGAGTGTTGCGGGCCCCGCGAGGGAGGAGGCCTGAGGGCCCCTGAAGCTGCCCCGGCCTTTCCGCACGAGCCCCGAGCCCCGTTTCTCTTGCGCCTGGTGGCCGGCTCCTGGGCGGCCCCCACGCTCCCCTGGACCTGTAGGGCTGCAGGGCGGGCCTGCGGGGTGCCGTCGCCAGGGTGGGGCAGAGCCCACCAGGAGGGCCCCGGCTCTGTTCCACGGCCCACGCGGCCACCAGGACCGCTGCCTCCGGGCCCGGTTTCCCCGAGCTGGTGCTGCGTCAGGCTGTGCCGGCCCGGCCTCAGGGCCCGCCCGGGCCTCGCAGGCCCAGGTGAGGGCACAGGCCGTAGTCGGCGGGGCTGGGTGGAGCCCCTGAGTTTGAACTGGGGATCCTGACCATGGTCTCCTGGTGCTGCTCTCGGGGTAGATGCCACGGACAGGGCAGTGGCGGGGGTGAGGGCCCTTGGGCTGGGGGCCTGGTGCCGCCCTCAGGAGGCCCTGTGGAGGGTCCCCCCCCTCCTCCCGGCCCTGCTGGGCGAGCCCTGCGGTATGTGTGGGTGGGCGAGCACCTGCGTGCCCCCTCCCTGTGCCCTCGCCCCTTGGGGCCCGTCCCAGGCCCTGTGCCCTCAGTACCTGACCGGTCATTTTGAGTGACCTGGGCCCTTTCCCTGGGGAGCAGCGGAGGGTGCTGAGTTACGGGACAGCCCCCCGCCCATGCCCATTCCGGGTCTGACGTGCACTTGGGGCTTCTGGGGCCCCTTCGTGAGCCCCTCTGGAAGAGGCAGCTCCCAGGGTCTCCCCCACCTGGGCCGCCTCCTCCGCCCCTCCCCACCCTCCCTGCCCTGTCTGCGCCCCCTTCCCCCGTCCCCCCACCCCTATGCTGTGTGCCATTCTTCCTTTTCAGAACAAACCACGAGGCCAGATCATCTTTAATTCTGCTTTATTTGGGGGAGAGGGGCAGACGTGGGGGGGGACGTGGGCAAGGGTCTCCTCCCCGTGGCAGAGAGCGGTGGTGGTCTGGGGCTCAGCTCCCGGGCACAGTCTCGGGCCTCCTCAGTCTCCCTCTGAGCCCCCCCAAACGCGCCTGGGCCCTGCGCTGTCGGTGCTGGAGGGGGGGGCTCCTGGAGGCGAGGTCGCCCCTCGGTCCTATGGGGTCTGGAGTCCAGTCCGGTAAGTCCTGGCACGTCGGAGTCCCGGAGGCGCCGTTCAGGTAGGAGCTGAGCTCAGGGACAGACGGGCAGTGTCAGGGCGGCGGGGAGGCTGGCTTGCAGCGGGCGGTGGGGG